GGTCTTGGAAGATAAGAGGTGCAAACTAAATAATAATACAAGATAAATATCAATAATGAAAATAACAATAACAATAATAATAATGAATAACAATAATAATGAATAACAAAATAATAATGAACAACAATTATAATAATAATGATAATGAATAACCAAACATTAACTTAACAGTTTTTATCGTAACAATTAAATTTATAATTAGCAAAACCATTAAAATAAATATAAATTCGTATTTTTGACTCATAGAAAAAAATCTAGAAAATTGGGCAAAATACAAATACTCTTTTAGAAATAAAATTTTATATTAAATACCATGAAAAATTATTTAAACTAGTATTTGAAATTCACGGTCATTACAACTGTATGCTTGTTACAAGTTAGAATTTTGAGTGGATAGTGGATACAAGAGTTACATATCATGCTACCTCCAATCGAGACATTTTCACGTCATATAAAGTAGGTGACTTTTGGCAATGTGAAGATGGACAACACTAGCTACTCGAAGATTGTGGGACTTAGTGACACACACTTACAAACATATACCATATGCACATTGGTTTTGAAGAATATACAACATGTTCTCAATTTGTAGCTCAACTTGATTTCGGGTTTTACTTTGAACCAAATAGGATATACAATTCAATTTGGTCGAAAAAATTGTAAGACCACTAAAGGCTCTCTTGTGGTGGCTAGAGGAAGTATATATTACGATTTATATAAGACTCAAGCGAAGGCTTCATATGATTCTTTGAGTGTGGCTTAAGACAGTGATACTCTCAGTTTGTGACATAGGAGGCTTGGACACATGATCGAGAAGGGATTGCATATATTAGCAAAGCTGTCTCTCATTACCTTTGCCAGACATTTGTCACTCACCCTTTGAGATTATTGTTTGTTTGGAAAATAACATAAAGTTTATTTTAGCAAGCCTTCGAAAAGAAAAGATAATATTCTGAATTTGATTTATTCTAATGTTTTTGGTTTTATCGAGGTGGAGTCCTTGGGTGTCAATAAGTATTTTGTCACATTTATTGATGATGTATTACAGAAGATGTGGGTCTTCTTGTTGAGGACAAAGAATCATGTGCTCTGTCAATCTTCTAGCAGTTTCATGCCATGGTGGAGAAGTAGACATGAAAGAAGTTAAAGTATTTGGGCATCAATAATGGAGGAGAGTACACTTCCATTGAGTTTAGAGATTATTACTCTAAACATGATATTCAACATCAAAGGACAGAGCCCAGCACACCACAACACAATTGAGTTGCAGATAGATACAACAGGACCATTATGGAGAAAGTCAGATGCATGTTGAAGATGACGAAGTTACCTAAGAGCTTCTAGGTTAAAGTTGTTCGCACTGTATGCTACATAATTAATAGGTCTCCATCAATTCCTTTGGGATTTCAAAGGGGTTTGATCCGAAAAGATATTTTCTACTCTCATCCGAATGTGTTTGGTTGTAAGGCATTTGCACACATTTCAAAGGAGAATAGACAAAAACTTGATGATAGGATGGTTTCTTACATTTTTCTTGGTTATGGAGAAAATGAGTTTAGCTACAAGCTATAAGATCTAGAGAAGAGATGAATTATCATACGACCAGATATTATTTTTTAGGAGGACCAGACTATTGCAGATATCAGGAGAACATAGCAGTCAGAGAGTGAGTGTTGTTAGTGAGATTCTAGAAATAATACCCGTTCGGTCTCCAATACAGTTGCATCCTACATATACAAAGCAAGTGCATGATGATAGTGTTGATGATGATGGTCAAATACCAGAGCAGGGAGATGGTGACCAGGATCACAAGTAGGAGACTTCTCGGTAGGGGAGCATCGCCAGCAACAGGAGATCGCAAAGCCACATCTGAAAAGATCAGCTAGAGAGTATAGACCATCCACGAGATATCATCTTTCAGAGTATTATTTGCTAACATAAGTGAGGGAGCCGGAGAGCTTTCAGGAGGTACAAACTCATAAATACAAGGACATATAGTTTCAGGCTATACAGGAAGAGATGATGTCTCTCCAAAAGAATGATAGTTATAAGTTGGTAGAGTTGCCAAATGATAGAAAAGCTTTGAAGAACAAGTGGGTGTTCAAGTTGAAGAAGGATGGCTACAAAGTGATTTAGAAATACAAAGGTAGATTAGTGGTGAAAGACTTTGATCAGAAAAAGGGTATTGAATTTGATGGGATTTTTCTCACCAGTTGTGAAGATAACGTCCATTAGAGTTATGTTAGGGTTAGCAGCTAGTTTAGAGCTTGAGATTGAGCAGCTTGATGTGAAGAGTATATTCCTTCATGGTAATTTGGAGAAGGAGATCTATGTAGAGCAGCCAGAGGGTTTTGAAGTAAAGGGAAAAGAACACATAGTTTGTAGGTTGAAGAATAGCCTCTATGATTTAAAGCAAGCACCCAAGCAGTAGTATAAGAAATTGACTATTTCATTTGAGTCATAGCTATTAGAGGATAGTTGCTGATTCATTTGTATATTTTAAGAGATTTTTAGATTCTAGTTTATTATCCTATTGCTTTTGTGAACAATATGCTGATTGTTGATTAGGACAGTCAGATGATTGGTGGGCTAAAGAAGGAGTTATCTAAATCCTTTGACATGAACGACTTCAGTTCGAAACAATCGATTCTTGATATGGATATTGCTCGTGATAGGAAAGCCAGGAAGTTATGGTTATCACAAGAGAAATATGTTGAATGGTTGCTAGATAGATTCAACATAAAAGATGTAAAGTTAGTTAGTACTCCTCTTGCAAGTCATTTGAAGCTTAGTAAAAAATTTTGCTCGACTACAGATGAGGAAAAGAGTGAGATGAAGAATATTCCTTACTCTTCAGCTGTAGGATGTTTGATATATGTCATGACATGTACTTGGTCAGATATAGCTCATGTAGTTAGTGATGTGGGTGGGTTTTTTCTCTAATCTGGGAAAAGCTCATTAGGAAGGTGTAGAATGAATCTTTTAATATTTGAAAGGCAGTTCCGGATTGTGTTTGAGCCTTGGAGGATCCAAGCCAGTACTACAAGTTTTTGCAAATGTGTATATGATAGGTGATCTCGATCACAAGAAGTCTATCTCAGTCTTTTTGTTCACTTTTACAGGGAAAGCTGTATCTTGACAGTCCAGGTTACAGAAATGTGTTGCTTTATCTACAACGGAGGCAGAATATATTGTAGTTGTACATGTAGAAGCCGGTAAGTAGATGATTTTGTTGAGGAGATTTCTGTAGGAGTTAAGCTTGCCGCAGGACAATTGTCAGGTTTTTATTGATAGTCAGAGTGCTTTTGATTTGAGCAAGAATTCTACATTCCACTCTAGGACAAAACACATTGATGTGAGATATCATTAGCTTAGAGAAGCTATTGAGAAAAGATGAGCTAAAACTACAGAAGATTCACACAGATAAGAGTCCTATAAATTTCTTAACAAATACCGTTTCTAGAGAGAAGACTGAGGTTGTGTCGACGGTTAGCCGACATGGACTCCCGGTGAGGAGTTACAGATTGGCACACCCTCTCGTTGTGCTGGAGGGGGAGATTGTTAAGTGGGTCCAGCCCAATAATCAAGATCTGCATGCATTAGGTCCATTGTCATCTATTACTAGTAAAGAAAGGATTTGGAGGGCCTATTGTAATCAGAATATGTTTGGAGGACATAGAGATAATTTTCTTTATTAAAGTAAAGTGGAGGCATGTGATTTGCAACACCCTGTAATCGGTTTTGTACAGAAAGCTGAGAGAAAAGAAAAAGAGAGATGTGTAGATTTCAAGAGAGAGAGAGAGAGCCTATTGTAATTAGAATAGGTTTGGATGACCTAGAGATAATTTTCTTTATTAAAGTAAAGTGGAGGCATGTGATTTGCAACATCCAATGGTACAAAACAGAATAGCCCAAACGGTTATTAAAACCGTTTGGACAAGTAAAAATAGCCCAAACGGTTGAAACCGTTTGGGATAACAAAACCCAAACGGTTAAAACCGTTTGGATTGTTAGGAGATCCCAAACGCAACCGCCAAACGGTTACAACCGTTTGGAATATTTGGCCCAAACTGTTTAAACTGTTTGGGTGATTTAATTAATTTTCTTTTTTAAAATAAAACATATTTATTTCTCCGTTCTCTTCCTTAACCAAACCCGCTTCCCCCCAAAAAATTCCCCTTCCCCCCAAAAAATTTCACCTAAATTCTAAAATCCCTGCGCCCCTAGCCCCAATCCCTCAAGAAAACACTACAAACACACCTTTGGGTACACTCTCAGCCACACCCTCTCTCCGGTTACAGTACAAGGGGTCCGCATGAGATTTAAAAAAACTCTGAGCCCCTTGCACTGTAGCAGGAGTCGGGGTGTAAGGTTCCGCCTGTAGTTAGGGGTGGAAATGAACCAAATAATTAATAAATGGTTCGATAATTGTTCGAATAACTATTCGGTCATATTCGATTCGATAGTTCATGTATATTCGAGTTTATTAACGAATAGAATTTAACCAGATGTATATTCGATTCGTTTAAAGTTTGATCACAACTTATTATTTGTATTATTGCACATATGATGTCATATTTTTAACCCACTTATCATTTCTACTTAAGTTTTATATATAGATTTTAAGACTTAAATAATCTTAAATCTGTTTTCTAATTAAAATTTTGATTTAAATATATATACATCATATATTATAAAGAAATAATTTTTATTTATGAATTTTAATACGATTTGAAAATCAAACTCTTTAGCAAAATAAATATGCTTTGATATTCGATAAGTATTTGTGAATATTCATGAATATTTATCAAATATCAAGTATTCGAGTTCGAATTCGAAAAACTAGATATATGAACGTGAATATTCATGAATATTTATCAAATATCAAGTATTCGAGTTCGAATTCGAAAAACTAGATATATGAATATTAGAGTCCGCATTCGAATTCGATAATTTTAAACAAATACAAATATGAACACATTAGTATTCGATTCGATTCGATCGTTTACCACCCTACCTGTAGTGTCTCCATCTCTCAAATCCCTCGTCTCAATCTACCAAGAATCCGCCTCTCGTCTTCATCATCATCGTCGTCTCCATCCCCTGAAATCCCTCATTTTAAACCCCAATCTCTCAATTCCCTCGGCCATCTTCTTCTTCCTCCTCCGCTCCCGCCGTCGCCTCCACATCGTCTTCATCTGCATCTCCTCCGCTCTCGCTGCAGCCTCCACGTCAGCCTCCTTTGGCACCGTCGACGCGTAGCTCGCCTCCTTGAATGACTCCCCACATTTAACGCTCAAATTCCCTAAAGATCTAGGCGGAGGAAAGGAGGAGAAGAAATCAGTAAGATTACTGCTCTTCTCTCTCTCTCTCTCTCTCTCTCTCTCTCTCTCTCAATCTTCGATCTTTTGCTGGGGATTCGCTTTTCCTCTCGGATCTCAGGGTTTGGATTGTCCCCAGAACTTGGGGATTTGGAAGAAGGAGGAGGAGAAGAAGATGGGGTTGTCGTTCGGGAAGCTGTTCAGCAAATTGTTTGCAAAGAGGGAGATGAGGATCCTGATGGTGGACCTCGATGGTGCCGGCAAGACCACCATCCTCTACAAGCTCAAGCTCGGCGAGATCGTCACCACCATCCCCACCATCGATAATCTTGTCCCCTCCCCCTCCTGATCTTGCTTGAATTAAGGTATTGAAAAAAGAGTTCCTTTTCCTGATTTAAGCCGCGGATTTTTTTGGGATGCCAGTTTTAGTTATCCTGGATCTGAATGTGCTATGAATTAAGCATGTACATGTTTCGAGAGTGAATAAGCTAAGACTGCTAATATCATTACTTAAAATGTAGAATGCTCCAGGACAGGACTTGTCTCATTTGCATAATTGGTTTTCAACGAGACACTAATCATTTTTAGTTGGCGGAAATTCCTGATAAAGCATTTTTGTAGGAATTTATTTGTTGAGGAATGATGCTGGATATATAAGTGACACTGGCTACCTGTTGGTCCCTCAGAATTAGATGATAGTGGTGGTTATGTTGATTTTTTTTCTTTCCTTTTTTTGTATTTTTTCTTTCCTTTTTTTGTTGATTCCTAGACGCTTTTAATCAAATGGTTGCTAATTTGGGAATTTTCATGTGTCTAGATGATTACACATTTTTTATGTATATATTGTTGTATACATGATGCAAAATGAAGAACTTATATCAACATATAATTAGCCTCAAATCAACCTGCGGCGATTATCCATATAGGCCTTCTGTTAGCGCCTCTATGGTGCAGCGGCGGTGGCATGCCTGGCAAATTCCTACCGCTTAGCTGCCACACCTGGGATGTCTTCATTAATGAAACCTCACTATACTGGTACTACCATCAGCCCCCTTTTTTGTCGACAGCGTCAACCGTTTAGGAGATTTTACCAGTCACCAAGATTGACAAGTATCTTTTATATACATAAATATCACTGTAACAACAAAAAAAGAAAGATATTAATGATGTGTGGAAAAAAGTCCAGGAATCAGCTGTTTATTTTGATATCTTACTATGTCTGTTGCAGTTTCATATTGAATTCTCAGTATTTTCCAACTTCAGAGAAGTCTGAATAGAATAATCGAGTAGTAAGCACTTGCCAAAACATTTTTTTTGCTCTAGCAATTTGCTCATGAATTACTGGTTTATACATTCGTAACATTCCTAACATATTGTTTATTTCCTTAGTATGGACCTATTAAAGATATTGAACTGAAGATTCCTCCAAGGCCTACAGGTTATGCTATTGTTGAGGTACTACTTTATGAAATCCTATTTATCAAAATGAATCAATGTCATGAACTGAATGTCTTCTGTGGGGCCCTTTTCATTTGTAGCCTTGACTTTTTATAATAAAAACATGCCTTATAACAATTCAATGAAAGTAAAATTATGTTAGCCTATTTTATTGACTTCATAATTGAAATGAAACGTATATGAAAGTCGAAGTTTATGTGTTTGGGGCTGATATTTCTTATTGGTTCATCTTATGTTTTGATAGTTTAACCTAACGATGTCGATGTTGATGTTTTATGTTATCGTTTTGCATTTTGAAGAAGCTCGTGATGCTGAAGATGTGATCCGTAGCCATGCCGGCTATAATTTTGATGGTCATAAGCTACGGGTATTTTGCTGCTTGTTTATTTTTTTACTTTCCTTCCTTTTCATTTATTTCTTTTGTTCACAATAGTGGCACAGAGAGAGTTCTGTGTAATATGTTGTACTATCTCACTAATGTGAGCTGCTCCAGGTGGAACTTGGCATGTTGGAAGAGGGCATCCCTCACCTTTTGAACGTCATCGTAGTTACAATGGTGGAGATGGAGGTGGCCGTGGTGGTGTCTCAAGGCATTCAAACTATCGAGGTTCAGTTTTGAATTGGTTTTATTTATGTATAACTTTAGGCACTGCTCTTTTTATGCATCTCCATTCTAAGACATATGTTATGCGATACGGTGAAGGTGACTAGTCTGCCCTCATCTGCATCATGGCAATACCTGAAGGTAGTGCCCAACCTCGTGTCAGTATGATTTTTCACTTATTATTTCCTTTCAAATTGTGTACTAATTAACATATACATTCTTTGTGATTAGGACCACATGCGTCGAGGTGGTGATGTGTGTTTCTCTGAAGCTTTTCGTGATGGCGGAGTAGGGCCGTACCTAGGAATTTTGGGGCCCAAGGCGAAATATTAGATGAGGTCTAAGTGATACAACTCATAATAGATTTTATCTCATTCTTCTTACCTTTTGAGCTGCAAAATTACTAATTAAATTTTTATATTCAATATTTTCTAACATATTATTTTCGATAGATAATATTGCTAAACCATTCAAACTATCTTGTAACATGGTCGATCTTAAATAAGATTTTAGTAATTTTAATTTTGAAAAACTTCTTTTAGTGGAAGCAACTGTTATGAGTATAGTCAATAGTACACGATAAGCAATACAAGTATTTGGAAAAGAATCTAACCACTTTATATAGTTCAACACTTCAATTGGACTATTAATCTTTATTTTTAAAATTTCCCTTAGCACTCTTAATTCTGAAAACAAATCAAGTCCATTAATATCTAAATGTTCATCATGTTTTAGTGCATTTTCGAGATTAAGACAATATGCTTTCAATTCAATATCATCTAAAGCTTTTAATTTTTTCAAATCAAACAAAAAACCAAAAAAAATTTCATACGTTTTAAATTGTTCAAACCTACTTTTAATTGAGCAAGCGATTTATCAACTATTTATAAGAAATATTCAATACGAAAAGATTCTTTAGTTTTCGATAGATAATATTGCTAAACCATTCAAACTATCTTGTAACATGGTCGATCTTAAATAAGATTTTAGTAATTTTAATTTTGAAAAACTTCTTTTAGTGGAAGCAACTGTTATGGGTATAGTCAATAGTACACGATAAGCAATACAAGTATTTGGAAAAGAATCTAACCACTTTATATAGTTCAACACTTCAATTGGACTATTAATCTCTATTTTTAAAATTTCCCTTAGCACTCTCAATTCTGAAAACAAATCAAGTCCATTAATATCTAAATGTTCATCATGTTTTAGTGCATTTTCGAGATTAAGACAATATGCTTTCAATTCAATATCATCTAAAGCTTTTAATTTTTTCAAATCAAACAAAAAACCAAAAAAATTTTCATACATTTTAAAATGTTCAAACCTACTTTCAATTGAGCCAAGCAATTTATCAACTATGTATAAGAAATATTCAATACGAAAAGATTCTTCAGCGTTAAATGTTGTTTCATTACCAATATTTTCATCAAATTATTTTTTCTATGAATTTTTTGTTTTTCACGAAATATAGGCTGTACGTCCATTTCATTAGCAAGTTCTTTAGTTGAATTCAAAGCAGGCATAAAACTATTTTGTCTATAATTTTCTAAATATACAATAAGACCTTTTAATTGATCTATAGCAATATCAATATGCATATATTTAGATTGTAAGATTTTACTAACTGAATTAACAACAAACAATATATCATACCAAATATTCATAGCTAATAAGAATTCTAAATTTTCAATCTCATAAGTTGCTAAGCTATTAGCTTCATTTTTTATCTTTGGATCTTCACTATTTTCTGCTAATTGAATAAAAGCATCTCTTATATTTGGAGCTTGAAATTTTATTGCTTTAACACTTTCAATCCGACTTTTCCATCTAGTTTGAGATAAAGATTTAACGGATAACTTGCATACATTAAATAGTTTTAGTTAGAAAGATAGAACCATGGGACTGTGGAAGCGGACTCAGCGGAGCTGCGGAGGCGGCTGGAGTCTAGAGACTCTAGACTCTGGAGAGTGGACTAGCGGAGCATGGAGTGGGACTGTGGGCTAGGACTCAGGAGTTAGGACTCTGGGAGAGGAGAGGAGGTGCGGACTGCCGCCTACGGAGCAGCGGAAGTGGGCCTGGCCAGGTGGCTAGCGGCGGCCCGTGGAACTTTCGAAGAGAGGAGGCTTGAGGGGGGGGGGGAGTTGGCTGGAAGCTGCGGTGGCCGATCGGAAGACCGCCGACGGGAGTGGGAGACTGGAGACGACTAGATGCGATCGCCGATCAAGAAGAAGAGGAGCTTAGGGCAGATGATTTCTTGAGAATTGAGATTTGAGTCTGATTATGCTAGGACCGATCAGATGATTTTTTGAGCTTGGATCGGAAGACCGGAGTGGGAGACTTTCTGAAGAGAGGAGGCGGCGGCGGTGTGGGAGACTGCAGAATAGGGTTAGATTTATGCTTAAGTAACTAAGTTATATATATTATATATATGGGTGGTTGGGTCTTATCCAACTTGGGGCCCAAGGCAGAGGTCTTAGTTGCCTTATGCTAGGGCCGGCCCTGTGGCGGAGGTGATCTGAATTTCTTGATGACTATTGAGTGGATTCTGAATTTCTTCCACATTCAAATGCTTTGCAGTCTCCAATGCTATAATGCATCAATCAACACAGCATCATAGCTTGTACACATGCGGTATGAGCCACAAATTGTAGCATCAGGAACATATGGGTTAGGAGTGTGATATTCCACTTTGCATACATATGTCAGCTTGTAATTTGATCTTAGACAAATAGTTCTAAATAGTTTATAGGGCTTTATTTCTCTTGATCTCAAGAAATATGAGAAGCATGGCTGTCGCATTTCTATATTATCTTTTTCTTGTTATTTGAATGGATATTAGAGACAAATATCGAGTAATCATTGTGTATGTATATGTTTTGTCTTTAATATTATATTATCTATTTGAATTGGATATTCAACACCATTTGAGACATTTTTGTGTATGTATATGTTTTTAATTTCATTGTGAGATATTGAATAATCATTGTGTGATATGAGTATATTAAATGTAAACAGGCAGATAAATAAAATAGACAAAATTTAAAAATATTAAAATACACAGTCCAATCGGTTACAATTGTTTGGACAGAAATGTGCCCAAACGGTTCCAATCGTTTGGGCCAATTTCTACCCAAACGGTTGTAACTGTTTGGACAATATTACTCTGTCCAAACAGTTATAACCGGGCTTTTTTTTCGCGCAAACAGTTGTAACCGTTTGGAAGTGCGTTTTTCCAAATGGTTCCAACCGTTTGGGTTGTCCTGTTTTGTACTAGTGATCCTGTAATCGGTACAGGAAGCTGAGAGAAAAGAAAAAGAGAGATGTGTAGATTTCAAGAGAGAATCAGTTTTGTACAGGAAGCTGAGAGAAAAAAAGAGAGATGTGTAGATTTAGAGAGAGAGAGAGAGAGAGATTCTGGATTGTTCGGTTGTCCGATAGTAGTGATTCAAATGCCATTTTCTTTAGAACGACGACGCCGTCAATGGTACGACGTTTGATTTTTTCGTGAGTATTGGAGATTTGTGGTGAAACAGGTTTTAGAGTGTTGGTGTCCTAGAGGTACCAGTGTATTTTTCTTTTGTGATTTAATCATCAAGTTTGAGTATAACTTTGATGGATTGTATTCTTAATTCATAGTGGAATATTTCTCTTTGGATTGCCCCGTGGATGTAGGTACGATTTGCCGAACCGCATTAAATCTTGGTGTTTGCTTGTATAGGATATTTTTATTGGTCCCGTTATTTGTTTTAGTGTTTAATTTCGCAGATTGATCTCCATAAAATTCCTAATATTTTTATTGAATTTGTGTTTAATATTCAGGCTCCGTGCGAGATATATGGGTGGATGCAAATGGATGACTGCCAGTTAATTATCAACACGAGACTCGCAAATGGATGACTGCCAGTTAATTATCAACACGAGACTCTCAACAGAATTCTTAGCATATCATGGACATGCTCAGCAATTCTTGCAATTATGCTACATCTTGAAGATGTTACCGCAACCGCACAGAATTTTTTCCCCTCTATTTACTAATTACAGTGTCGTTTTGGTGTTGAAAATGGTCTTCACCTTTTCTCAATAAACACTGCTGAAGTAACTCTCCTTATCAGCCCTTTCGAAGTATTTTCATATAGTTTCCTGTTAATATTTTTCTGTGTTCTGTTCAATATGGTCCGGGTGGGGTAATGTATTACTAAAGAAGATAACAAAATAGCATGCAAGTGTATTATGCATTGGTGTTAGTTATTTAGCAATCCTTGTATAACTAAAAAAATTGAAAATAATGAATGAATTTGATGTAAGACGAAACTTGATTTCAATCACTCTTTCTAAGATCTAGGGACTTGGAATAAATATTTATTTTTTAAGTTGTTAGTTTCTTCACCTTCTGTTATGAATAATTAAATGAATTGAATCCTCGCATGTGGATAAATTTGTTAGCGTCTGTGGTTAAATCTGGAATAATATAGATATATAATAGTAAAAACTGAACAAAAAAATAAAGTACAGTAATTTAAAATTTTCCAACTCAGCTGTTGTTCGTTTGTAAAACGTTGTGCTTAAAACATTATTTGACTTACTCCGGTATAAGGATCCCAAGGTCAAATTGCTTACAGGAACAGCAGTCCAGTACTCTGGTGTGCACCGACCCAATACTGTCAAGATCTCCTTGATCTATCAGGCAAAGATCTCCTCAATCTATCAGGCAAAGATCTTCTCGATCTATAAAACCTTCTCGGTCTAGGCACTGTTCCTACGAGCACTAGTTATTCTACAATATATATCTGTATATTGATTGTTGTTTTTTAGAATGAATTTTTCTTAAGGATTTGGGATCTATAGCGTTTGGAAAAATACTATGCACTAATAAAATAATAATATTTACTATGTATGTGGGGCCTACGTCTTAAATTTTCTTCGGTAGGGCCCACCACTTTTGAAAAAACAAACATCACATGGGCTGCTGCAGCAGTCCATGTTTTCTTTTGAAAAAATTATTCAACAATGCCCCATAATTTTTTTAAAACTAGTGTCGTGTAACGGTGCCGTCGTTGCAATCGTTGTGCATAAGGTAGAAGTCGCAATGACTTGAATCCCCTTTAGACCAACTGAATAAAAGATAGGTGCATGGTGTCGTAGAGACTTGAACCAGTACATGTCTAAAAATCCAGCGATCACACAAGATCAAACTTATCTGTGGTAATTTTCACTTTGAACCACACTTGCCTTTGTCTTTGCCTTTGCACATTTATGACCCTGTGCATGTCCTGGTTTCTGCTAGGACTCTAGGTATCTTTCCACAAGACATCATAGGAGACGGCTAAATCTTCACCCATGTATATGTGAGTTCTTTAGGCATGTTTCCTATCAAACATCCCGCATCCGAAATGCTTTGAACTCATTAAGGCTTAAGAGCCACCCTCTCTTATGATAGGATTCTAGGTGAGTCCTTTAGGTGTGTTTCCTATCTAACACCCCGCATCCGAAATGCTTTGGTGATAGGATTCTAGGTGAGTCCTTTAGGTGTGTTTCCTATCTAACACCCCGCATCCGAAATGCTTTGGACCCATTAAGACTTAACAGCCATCCCCTTTATATGATAGGATTCTAGGTGAAAAGATCAAAGTTTTACTCAGTAGTTCAGCCAGGTAAGGATAGTATTAGAGGTTGATCAAAGGTCAATTAAGTACATCGTTCCTTACGGAGCGCGTTACGCAACCCCCAAACCTTACCTTAGACACCGACTAATCCAAGAAAACTTGAACCCTTTTACTTGTAAATCTTATTTGACTTTTGAACCATTTATCTTGTCATTGGTAGCATAAGCTTTGAACTAAAAACTAGATGTAAATGGTAAGTGTTTGTAAGACTCACCAAATTTTATAAATCTTACTTGATTTTTGAACCAATTATTTTATTATTAGTAGCATAAACTTTGAATTAATAGTTTAATAAACATGGTAAATATTTATAAGACTTACAAAACTTTAAGACCCATTCTAGCAGACATCCTTTCGACTATGTCCTTTTTCAAACCCTTAGTCAAAGGATCAACCACATTCTCTGAAGATCGGATGTCAATCACAGAGATGACTCATTGAGAAATGAGCTCTCTCAAATAGCCACGCTTCAGACGAATGGTCCGCTTCTTTCCATTGAACATCGAGTTTGCTACACAACACTCACCACCTGATCATCACAATAGATAGTAATTACACCTTGCAATTTCATCAATGGAAAATCTTGGAGAATACAACTGAGCCACTTAGCTTCATCTCCTGTAATACAGAGTGCGAAGAATTTAGATTCCATCGATGACTGTGCAATCATGATCTACTTCTTAGACTTCCACGAGATGGCAGCTTCACCCATGGCGAAGATAAATCCTCTAGTAGATCTGCACTCATCTGGTTCTGAGCACCAGCTGGCATCTGAATAGCCTTTGATTACACCAGGATATCTAGTGTAGAATAGACCCAGATTTGTAGCTCCTTTCAAGTATCTCATCAATATCTGGACATCATCCCAATAAATCTTTCCAGGATTACATGTGAACCTACTAAGCATTCCTACAGCGAATGCTATATCTGGTCTTGTGCAGCTCATCGCGTACATAAGACTTCCAATGATCTTTGAGTACCTCAGCTGCTCTACTGGTCTTCCAGTATTCGGTCAAAGCTTCTTGTTATAATCATATGGCACTGACAGTTCTGGCAGGTCATAGTAGCCATACTTCCTTAGCATGCTCTTGATATAATGAGATTAGGACAATCCAATACCCTCTTCAGAGTATATAATTTTAATTCTGAGAATCACATCCGTAGTTCTAAGGCTCTTCATGTTGAACTGTGCTGAAAGAAATTTCTTAGTAGATATTACTATCTCCAAATCACTCCCTTTGATGAGCATATCATCCTTATAGAGGCAGATGACCACCATGTTTCTTTCAATGACCTTGATATATAGGCACTTATCAGATTCACTGACTTGATACCCATTGTTGCGAACACTTTCTTTCAATGACCTTGATATATAGGCACTTATCAGATTCACTGACTTGATACCCATTGTTGCGAACAACGCCATCGAACTTCTCATGCTTATAGGCACTTATCAGATTCACTGACTTGATACCCATTGTTGCGAACAACGCCATCGAACTTCTCATGCTAGAGTTTTGGTGCCTGCTTAAGTCCATATAATAACTTAACAAGTTTACAAACCTTACCAGCTGGAGCATCATGTCCTTCTGGTTTCTCCATGTAGATTTCTTCTGTGAGATCTCCATTGAGAAAGGTAGTCTTCACATCCATCTGATATATGACAAACCTTTTAATCACCGCCCATGCGATAAGCACTCTGATGGTAGTGATCTTGCAAACTGGTGCATAGATATCAAAGAAATCTATACCTTCTTTCTGAGAGAATCCTTTCGCCACTAATCTTGCTTTGTATTTTTCAATAGTACCATCAGGACGAAGCTTCTTTTTAAAGATCCACTTGCAATTGATAGGCCTTGCACCTTCAGGCACATCTACCAGCTCCCAAGTGTGATTTTGGATCAATGAATCCATCTCATCATCTATAGCTTCTTTTCACAGAAGAATGCCTGTTGACTGCATTGCTTCTTGAAAAGTCTGTGTATTTCCTTCCACATTATAGGTGATGAAGTCATCTCTAAAATCTTTTTGTCTTCTGACGCACTTGGAAGATGGTTCGATAACTCCTTCAACATTGACTGGCTCCTCTTGTGCATCTGATGTACTAGCATTCTCTGCTACATCTTTGAGCAATAAGCCTTTATGTTTGATAAACTTATCCTCAAAGAATTCTGTATCCCGAGCTTCAATGATGGAGTTGGTTCCAATTATGTTTGATAAACTTATCCTCAAAGAATTCTGTATCCCGAGCTTCAATGATGGAGTTGGTTCCAAGGTTCAGAAACCTGCACGCATTGCTATCTCCAGCAAAGCTAAGAAACACACATTTGTTTGCCTTTGGTCCGAGCTTAGGCCATCTGATATCTGAAATTCGAACATATGCGAGACACCCCTACACTTTGAGATTATCCAAAGAATCTAGATATCCAAACCATAACTGATAAGGAGTATTATCAGTTTTAGAATAGGGCACTCTGTTCAGAATTTAGTTTGCCATTAGCAAAGCCTCTCCCCAATAGTAGGTAGGTAAACTAGATGTGATTAGCATCGTATTCACCATCTTGGTCAATGTGCATTTCTTCCTTTCTGCAATCCCATTAGATTGCGGAGAATACGGAACAGTAGTTTCAGCAATGATTCCATGCTCCTTGAAGTATGCTTCTGTCTCCTTAGATTGGTATTCTCCTCCTCTATCGCTCCTGAGTCTTTTCACTTGTAGTCCAAGCTGCTTCTCCACTCGTGTCCAAAACTCGACAAATTTGCTGAATGCTTCATCTTTATATTTCAGTAGGTAAACGTGGCAGAAGCGAGAATGGTCGTCAATGAAGGTGATGAAGTACTTCTTTCTGCCACGAGTGACAAAGCTCTTGAAGTCACAAGTATCTGAATGAATCAGATCCAACAGTTTGGTGCTCCTCATGACACTTGAAAATGGCTTCCTTGTCAGCTTTGCTTGCATGCAAACTTCACAGTTCTCAGGTTTATTAATTACCCCCATATTTTGGAAGTAATCCTAACTTCTCTATGCTGGATAATTTTCTATAATTTACATATTCCAGCCTATTGTGTCATAACACAGAGAAGTAAACAGAAGAGGATACTTTATTTACAACGGGGTTGGGTGCACTCGTACTGATTTTATACATGCCATCAGTACGATATACTTTGCCAAAATATATTTTCTTGAAGGATAATATAGCCTTTCATCCTTGGAAATCCAGCCTCATGCCTGCATCACACAACATGCTTCCAAAGACTAAGTTTTTAGCAATTGAGGGAACGTGTTTTATATCCTTCAATATGAGAGTCTTTCCTGAAGAAAGAATCAGCACCACAGTCTCAGTTTTAAGAACAGGAACCACAGAACGATCAGCCATTGATACGTTCTCTTTGGTAGCAACATAAGAAGAGAACATATCTCTATTGGAGCATACATAACAAGTAGCACCCGTATCTAACCACCAACTAGAGATGTTGCTTGGAGTTGTTACCTGGAGAAGCACACAATCATCAACTTGATTGACATTGTGTGTTGTTTCCTTCTTTGGTGCTTTACAGTCTTTGGCAAAATGTCCTTGCTTCCCACATTTGAAGCATTTGCCGCTCTTCTTGAACTCCTTCTTCTGTACGTTCAGGTTCTTCGGATTTTGATTCTTCTTTCTATTAAAAGACTTCTTCTTCTTGAGAGATGAATTATTACCCTTTTCAGAGTTAGCAGCCACTATGTTAGCAGACGCCTTCTGCTTAGCAAGGAGCTCAGTTTTCGTGCGAGTCCGAGTCTCATCCTCGATCCGAATGAACCTCTTCAAATCAGACAGAGTCATGTCTTTTCCTTCTCCGAATGTCAGTGGAGAATGACATCCAAGATAGAGGAAGCTTGTTGACAATTGCACCAGAAATAAAGGTTTGACAAAGACTGATCTTTTTATCCTTCAACTTCATAACAAGTTTTTCAAGCTCTTTGACTTGAGGCAAAACCTCATTATCATCTTCGAACTTCAAGTCCAGGAATTTGTCAATGAGGTGAGATTTGGATAGCTTTTCCTCATCCTTGTACTGGTCCTCCAGAGCATTCCAAATTTTTTTTACAGAGGGCTTGTTGGTATAAGTATCTACTAGATTATCAGCCACATATTTAAGAAGATAACTCCTGTAGAAGTGATCATCTCTAGCCCAAGAGTCTTCAGCTTCAGAGTCTTCTTCAGAGTCAGGTTTTTCCTCAGAAACCACATAGTAAATTTTTAGGTGTTGCATCCTGAAGATTACTTTCTGACGCCATGCGTTGAAGTTGGAACCGTCAAAGTTTTCTAACTTAAGACAGTCCACTCCAAGAGTCCTCGCAGGATCCATGGTAGATCAAAATAATGCTTAAGAATATTATTGGCGCTTGTGATTAAATCTGGAATAATACAGATATATAACAAAAAAAATTGAACAGAAAAATAAAGTGCAGTAATTTAAAATTTTCCAACTCAGCTGCTGTGCGTTTGTAAATCGCTGTGCTTAAAGCATTATTTGGCCTAATCCGATGTAAGGATCCCAAAGTCAAATTGCTTCCAGGAATAACAGTCCAGTACTCTGGTGTGCACCGACCCAGTATTGTCAATATCTCCTCGATTTATCAGGCAAAGATCTCATCGATCTATAAAACCTTCTCGGTCTAGGCACTGTTCCTATGAGCACTAGCTATTCTACAATATATATCTGTATATATTGATTGTTGTTTTTTGGAATGATTTTTTTTAAGGATTTGGGGTCTATTTATAGTATTTGGGAAAATATTATGTACTAATAAAATAATAATATTTTACTATACATGTGAGGTCCACGTCTTAAATTTTCTTCGATGGGGCTTTTGAAAAAACAAACATCACATGAGCTGCTGCAGCAGCCCATGTTTTCTTTTGAGAAAATTATTCAACAAAATTTCCATAAATATGTTTGGAGTGGAATCTGAATCAGTAAATTCTTCCATCACAAGCAAAAAGTTACAAAAGCACCTGTTTATTCCACGAGGGTGTGGCACAAATACTTGCATCTATTTACACCTACAACACTTGCTAATTTTGCTCTCTTCATAATGTTTAGGCAAAAAAAAAAAGAAAGAAAGAAAGAAAGGGGAAAAAACATAAATAAATCCTGAAGATGATAAACGATGTATTGGCACACAAAAAAATGCTTGCATCTATATCATAAAAAAGAAAGATGCCTCTCAAAAACTGAACGAGGAGAAGTACTGAGCTTGACCACACTTGTTAAGTCAGAAAAAGACTTTGCTAAGAAAAAAGAGCAGAGAACTGCTAACTAGGGATGAAAATAAACCAAATAATTAATAAATAGTTCGATAATTGTTCGAATAACTATTCAGTCATATTCGATTCGGTAGTTCATTTACCACTAAACAAATATTTTTTAGTATTCGAGTTTACTAACGAATAGAATTTAACCAGATTTATATTCAATTTGTTTGTCTATTAAATATTCATTTAAATTTGATCACACCTTATTATTTGTATTATTTCACATATGATGTCATATTTTTAACCCACTTATCATTTCTACTTAAGTTTTATATACTGATTTTAAGACTTAAATAATCTTAAATTTGTTTTCCAATTAAAAATTTGATATAAATATATACATCATATATTATAAAGAAATAATTTTTATTTATGAATTTTAATATTATTTGAAAATTAAATTTTTAGCAGAATAAATATACTTTGATATTCGATAAGTATTCGTAAATATTCATGAATATTTATCAAATACCAAGTGTTCGAGTTCCAATTCGAAAAACTAGATATATGAATATTAGAGTCCGCAATCGAATTCGCTAATTTTAAGCAAATACAAATACGAACACCTTGGTATTCGATTCCATCGTTTACCACCCCTACTGCTAACATATGTGGGATCACATTCTGCGGTTGATGAGTCCACAAACAATCACTAGTCCAGTAACCAGCAGCCGATCATGATTAGGCTCCACAATTAGTGTTATCACATCCTCTCCAAGTGCAACACCATGGCTTGTGAGCTTCCTCTTGACCTGCATGACACCAAAGCAATCCCTCGTTATTGCTTACTCTCATGCTATAATGACCCTTTGACTATGCTTAACCAACTTTGTACGATATTTTAATTGACATATATAATATATTCATACCTCTGCAACTGGCTCTCCCTCGATGTCTATTATTTTGTAGTCACTCTTGCTTGGTGAACCAAGGATCTTATAGCGAGTTTTATTATTATGTCTGTAACTTCGGCAGCAAAATTCTGACCTCTATTAAAATACCTGCGGGTTTTTCGAACTCTAAACCAGGGCTCTTGCTTTTCTACTATCAATCCATCACCTTGGAACCCTTCCCACTGTCTGAAAATTCTCAGTTTCTGTATAAGAAGCAAATAATTAATCTTGGATAACAATTACTAACTTATAGAGAAATATACAATCTATTTCCTGTTATTTACCTTTCTAAGTATTTTTGTCAATGTCCTGCCTCTATCATCCATGAGGTACACCTCAGTGCTGGACTTGCAAGCATACTTATAAACACGATAGACTATCCGGCCATAAGAATCATAGATAGTGCATCCGTTCCCATTCAACACGAGAGATTTCATCCATACAGTGAATATTTGTATTTCTGAAGAATAGAAGAAGAAGAAGAAGAAGATAGGCATGATCGAGGACAAACGTTAGCCATTAGAACTCGAAAAACTAACGAGTTGGTGTTAGTAGGAAAATCATCCTTTCCTTTTATATGGCTCTCAGCTTATACGGAAAACAGAAGCATCCGATGCGAGTATTCCTTTGGCAACAGTGCACGACATATAATGTTGGATTCCTGTAGCACATGCAAATGACGCTAGCGAGTAGTTGAAAAGAAGAAGATGCCTCTTTGAAAAATAAATGGGAAAAATGCTTCCAGCCCCCAAATTCGTAACAAGTATGCTTCCCCCTCCCAAGACTTTTTCAACGCTCTAAAAAACCCCAAATTCGTAATAACTATGCTCTGAGCCCCCAAAACACAAAGCCCAAGAATTTTACACAGATAAAGACTATAATACCCATTCTCTCTCTCTAATATTATATTCGTAATAACCATATAATCCCTCCTCTCTCCCTCCTCCTTCCCCCACCATTTTTGCCCTAGCCCCCTCCGTCCCTTCTGCAACCCTCGTGGCGGCCGAAGCTCCTCTCCGGTCTCACGCCTCGACCCCTCGCCTCCGCTCGCTGAGATCCTCCGTGTCCACCGCCGATCCCAGCGCGGCCTCCGCTCGACCCCTCGCCTCTGTTCCCAACCCAATCCCTCCTCCCCCAGACGCCACATCAAACCCCCCTCTCCATCCCTCAGGTCCATCATCCCCCACCATCTATAGTGCTGTCGTTCTTGGAAATTATTGTACTTTATGTCTTTTCATACAACTTGTGCGTGTGTGTTAAATACTTCATTCATCTTTTTCTGCAGGGAAATTTACCGTGGTTGTTAAGGTTATACGCGTTGCTTGTTAAGGTTACGTGTTGGTTGTTAAGGTTATACGCGTTGCTTGTTAAGGTTACGTGTTGGTTGTTAAGGTTATACGCGTTGCTTGTTAAGGTTATATGTGTTGGTTGTTAAGGTTTCGGGTTGCTTGTTAAGGTTACGCGTTGGTTGTTAAAGTTACGCGTTGGTTGTTAAAATTAACCGTAACCTTAACAAGTAATCCGTAACCTTAACAACCAACGTGTAACCTTAACAAGCAACCCAAACCTTAACAACCAACGCGTATAACTTTAACAACCAACGCGTGACCATAACAACCAACGTATAACCTTAACAAGCAACCTGTAACCTTAACAACCAACACGTAAATCGTTTGGCTTTTGAAAATTCGTAACATTAACAACCAACGCGTAACCTTAACAAGCAACCCGAAACATTAACAAGCAACCCGAAACCTTAACGAGCAACCCGAAACCTTAACAACCAACGCGTATAACTTTAACAACCAACACGTAACCTTAACAACCAACGTGTAACCTTAACAAGCAACCTGTAACTTTAACAACCAACACATAAAATCGTTTGGCTTTTGGAAATTTCATTAAAATTAAAAGTGAAATATTATTACAAAATCTAGCTCACTCCCACTACCTAAAACAAATGTATGCATCATCGTCTTCTTCCTCTACCCTGTCAACGGTCTCAAAACCATGGCAGTCCACCTCCTCAGTGAGTGTTGAGTGGTAAAATGAAAGTAATCATACATTGCACAGTTTTATGTGGTGCTGTAAGCATGAATTTTCTGAAGAAAAGTATAGAATTGTTACTGCTTTTTATTTTATGAAGTTATGAATTATTATAGTAGAAGTACAAAAAATTAAAGCTTTTTTTTCTATTTCCTTCCTTTTTTTTTATGAAGGTTTTACGAGTTGCTTGTGAAGGTTACGGGTTTGCTTGTTAAGGTTACACGTTGGTTGTGAATGTTACGCGTTGATTGTTAAGGTTACGGGTTGGTTGTTAAGGTTACGGGTTGGTTGTTAAGCTTAATCTTCACAATCAACGCATAACCTTAACAAGCAAACCGTAACCTTAACAAGCAACACGTAACCTTAACAAGCAACCCGTAATCTTAACAACCCGTAACCTTAACAACCGTAACCTTATCTGCAAATAGAAAAGATAACTATCATTGGGTACATGTATATTAAACGTGAAGAAAGAAAATACCGTTAATGCAAGAGAGAAGAGGCATTCTTTTTCGAACAGGAAAACTTATTTTGAAGGGGGAAAATAAAAAAAAGAAAAAGATCCCAAAAAGAAAACATGTGACAGGAAGAAACTCTGTTGCTAGTAAATCTAGATGCATTAGCTTCAGAAGCTACAAAGAAACATCAAGTTCGCACGTGTCATTACGAGATCAATTCAATCATTAGCCATCTCTCTGCTCTTCTTCGCTAGGTTGCGCTCCAGCTTGTGTGCATTCTGGTGTCCTCCAAGAGCTTGGGTGCTGTAAAAAGTCTGTCTGCAATAGTTACACGAGAAAACTCGTGCGTGCTCGGGACGAGGCCCAGACTGCAGGGACAGGTTAAGGTTGAGGTTCTGAGCTTCATGAAATATTCTCGGCGAGCAAAGGCCGAGGGGTCGAGCAGACGCCGCGCTGGGATCAGCGGTGGACACGGAGGATCTCAGCGAGCAGAGGCGAGGGGTCGAAGCGTGAGACCGGAGAGGAGCTTCGGCCACCACAAGGATTGCAGAAGGGACGGAGGGAGCTAGGGCAAAAATGGTGGGGGAAGGAGGAGGGAGAGAGGAGGGATTGTATGGTTATTACGAATATAATATTAGAGAGAGAGAATGGGTATTATAGTCTTTACCTGTGTAAAATTCTTGGGCTTTGTGTTTTGGGGGCTCAGAGCATAGTTATTACGAATTTAGGGGTTTTTAGAGCGTTGAAAAAGTCTTGGGAGGGGGAAGCATATTTGTTACGAATTTGGGGGCTGAAAGCATTTTTCCCAAAATAAATTTGAAATTCTTTGAAGTTTCACGTAAAGGGCATCATGGTAATCATGCTTTTATTCACAGCTGAGTATCACGTGCGGTTTTCTGAATAGTAAATCGAGAGAGGAATCATCGAATCTATTCTTTCAAATCCATATTGCAAAAGAACTCGGGCTAATCATATCATACTCCATTTAAAAGCATGAGTTCAGAAAAATCTTTCTTTAGACAAAAATACCCTTATATAGTCTGAACTATCATATCTATAATCAAATATAATTTTTAAATTTAATTTAATGATTTATTCTATGGGTTTGTTATGGTAGTTATATTTCTTATTTGATTAATAATATCTTCTGTTGCAAATCCCGATTAATAACTTTATATATAAATCCCAATGACGCAACAAAATGAGTGGTTGAAGAGTTTATTCTATGGGTTTGTTAATTATGGTGGCTATATTTAATTATACCAAATCACGCAACAACGTATATTAAATTTTGGAAGACGCTACATGTACGTAATCGAGAATAAATTATGTAGCTTCGAAACATATTACTATACCAATAACCGAGTTAATTTGATTATTAGAAGCACTGTTATCGGAACTAATACTATCCGAACAATCTAATTTAAATCCTGTTGTGCGCAGCGGAAATTTCGACAGAGTTTCTGGTGCACAATAATAGAGAAAGATCCCAATAAGAATTCCCGTCTCACCAAGAAGACAAGAATCTGAAGCGAATATCTCAACAAAGTGAGATATCGGCTCTTCCTCTCATCAGTTCTAGGACTGACTTGTCGAGGGATCCTAAAACTATTATAATGGCCACAAACTCAAACAACCAATTTTACGTGGTTCGGCAAACTGTCTACGTCCACGAGGCAAGGAGGGGGAGATCTACTATTAGAGGGAGAGAATACAAGTAGTGTTTACAATCACTCAATCTAAACCCTCAAACAAATACTCTCAAACCCCTCACAAAAGTACAGCCGTCAAAACCCAAGAACAGCCGCCAAACAACCCAAAGAACAGCTGCAAACTTCTCCTTGTACAGTACTTGCACAAGCCCTTGTTTGCTGCTCACGCGCTGCCTGAAGCCAATCTTTTTGCACGCTTCTCCTTGCACAAAACTCAGCCGCCTCTTTTATGAACCCAATTGCACCCCCCTCAATTGCACACTTCCCTAGGTTACGAATTGATGGGTATTTATAACATATGGGATCGGGTGGGCCATAAGTCACAAAGAAAAAAAAAACCACGACCGCAAACATCACGTTCACGTGATTGCTTTGCTGCCACTTTCTTCAATCAAATTTTTTTCTTCACGTGGGTTGTTGGCCCCACCACGCTCATTCACAATTCTCCACCTCGGCGAAGTTGTCTCAAAACTGAGCCGACACCAACCAAACCAAATGTCTCACTTGCTGCTTATCAATCCTCAACAAGTCGGGACCCAAACGGGAGTACGAACACTCACCTAAACATCGGTATCTACTCACCAAATCGATCTCACCCCCCATCAAAAACCAAACCGACTGCATCGTAAAGACTGCCTACGTATTCTCTTGCCCAAGGAATCAAGCCGAACGTAGTTCACCCAAATGGCCACGAACGACCTCAATCCACTTGAAGAGTTTGCAACCCTTCTCCAATATCATCAACTCTACGGCTGATAGCACCTCCAATGGCCTCAAACACCTTCACCTGAGGTGAACCAATGACCATATCCAAACTACGTCTACCAGCTACACTCGAATCAAAACCCAACTCATCATCTGCATCCAAAACCAAATGATCTCCAAGCCGTGTCACCTCAGCTGGAATCCCAAATAATGTAGTATGATCTGGAGTAATCTTTACCTAATGTGGAGTAGCATCACTCTCCATCCGCTGCGATACCTCTAAGGTCTGTCCAAAACTCTCCACCTGCTGAGAGTCAATTGGCTTCCTCATCGAAGCCTCAACCAAAGTGACACTACCAGACCTATCTTCTAATGGAGTTTTACCTCCAATCACAGCAGTTGACAACTCTTTAATAGGATGACCCAAATATGTCGAAGCCTCTGTCCAGAAACTCTTCTGCAGACCATTGCTTGACAACAAACACCGATCCTCCTCCAACAAGGCTCGGTTCTCCAAATTTGTCACTCTATCTAGTTGCCGTAAGATTTCCTTTCTAATGAAGTGTCTCGAAATACCGTGAGCTCGGCTCCAATACAGAAATAGGTC